TCCACAAGTAACAGAAGATCGTGTAGACATCGATGAAGTCGCTAGCACAGCGACAGCTACCGAACCTTCTATCGAGCCTCCCAAGAAAACCCGTTCTGGACGCACCGTAAGGTTCCCAGAATATCTGCACACTTATTTGACTTAACGAATTCGTGTGATTCACGCAACTCACTCGTTCGTGGTACTAACTATTTTTTTTGACGTATAAATTTTTTTTATATACAGTACCACCGAACACAAAAATTTTTTTCAACAGTTCATGTAACATACACAAAAAAATTAATTAGATGTATTTTTTTTCGATGTTCTGAACTTAGCATTATTTTACTGTATAGTAAATGCACATAATTTTTTTTAACCAAAAAGGTCATTTCGTACATTTTCCTCGACATGGTTCTTAGCGTTCTTGTTTTCTTTTCCAGGTGCGACGGGCACTGGACGGGAAACAAACGAAGCACGGAATCCAACGAACAACACCAGGAAGCTATGTACAAACACCCCATTAGCATAGGCAGACAAACCAGTAGGCATAAGACCAAGCCGCTCGGAAGATTTTTTTCACCCGAAAGGGAACCATCGAGTTTTTTTACTTCCGGCTGGTTCTGTCTTAGGGTCCTCACGACCCCACTAGGGGGGAGTGAGCTGTAGCGGTAAATAATTCCCCAAAATTATTGACCACAGCAATCACTCATTGGATGCTGACCACCACTGTTTAAGTCGACTTGTTTAGCTGAAGGCTTCCGGTCAAGCATCCCCGCCATTTGGTACCTCGTCGTGTCACGTGCACGATCACTAGCTAGCTAAGCGTTCGTCTAACGGCTGGTTTTGGTTACTAAATATATATCTTGGTTTGGACGATCAATTATTGGCTTTTGCTTTGTCTTTGGTACGCGAGAATAAATTAATTAGAAGTTGTTGAACGAGATATCACGTCAAACCTTTAATATCCGTCAACCTTTAAAAAGTCATTTAATGCTAACAATGTAGTTATCCTGCACTCACTATGTTCATAATTGCAGCAAAACGATACCGGATGACAGGTTTAAGTACGCTTATGTTGGTTTTAAATGCACTTTTGGAGTGAATCGTACAAAACCTGGATTGAAATTGAAAAACAAGTCGTAAGAAGAAGTGTAATATGATTTCATGAATATTTCATGACTAAATGTTGCAATTGCTCGTCTTCATTTCGCGCGGTTTTGCGTTACAGTGAATACATAATTGCTTCCCACAATATGGTGCATAACCATCCATGCAGCAGGTGTACATGCAGAATGACCCATGGTTTAGACGACTAACAGTTGAAGAGAAAGAGAATATTGAACCACTTCTTCAGCAATCCCACTCATCCGATGAAATAATAATGAATGTTAAGGAGAAGTACCACAAGGATATAACTCGCATTGACGTTCAAAATATGAAAGCCGCAGTTAATAAACGTAACGTTGACGTACTTGTTACATACTTAAGGTATTTCGAGTCGTCGTGACATTTTTGAAATCCTAAAATCCCGTGGGAAGTTAATGGAGTATTATTCCGACGAACCGATCAGGAATTCACCAACAAGAATTTGTTTTGCAACTTATGAGCAAATGAAATTGTATAAACATTGACTGGTGCCATGTTTTGGTTTGACCGCCGGTAGCTCTTTTCCAATCTGATCCATCCTGTCAGCTAACATTGCCTATTGTCGAGGAAGGCGATGACTAGGCATACGTAACACATGTCCCAAACGTCTCAGTCGATGCAATTTCACATCCTCGTCGATTGATTTCCCCTCCTCACCTAACATTCGACGCCCAACCTCAATATTGCTCACGTCATCATACCAATTCACACAGGAGATAGAGCGCAGTCACCTATGATCAAAGACAGCTAACCAGCATTTTCATGTCTTCCACTCTCAATGGCCGGGTCTCACAGCTGGCCATAAAGGAGGATGGAGCGGACTGATGTGCAGTAAACCCGCCCTTTGGGCGATAGTCGGATATCACGTCTACACCAGAGACGGTGTAATCTGGCATATGCGAAGCTAGCCCTCAGCATCCCTACTGAGATTTCGTCAGAGATCAACTCGTTGGGGCTGATGCAACCTCTCAAATAAGTGAAGTGGTTAACATGCCTTACCACTTCACTACCTATTTCTAATCTAGGAGTCAGTGTAGTCCAGACCAGTCCTGTAGCATCATCTTACATTTGACAGGAGCGAATGCATGTCAAACATTCGTAGATTGCAGCTTAAGGTGTTCAGAAGGCTGCATTTTGTCAGCGTCCTCGCCTAGGAGGGAGGACTATATCATCTGCATATTCTAAGTCGACGGGATTGTGCCCTGACGGTAACAAGTCAATCCCTGAGCCCCTGAAGTGAGTTAGGGTTAAGTCCATTAATACATCTATGATGAAACTGAATAGAAATGAAGACACAGGACATCCCTAACGGACACCACTAGTTGTCACCACTTCGGATGACAACTCGCCGTAAGACCTCACCTGGCTGCATGAGTACGAGTAGAGTGCCTTGATTAGTGAGATGTATTTTCTCGCCATTCCCTTTACAGCCAAGCATAGCCAGAGTACCTCTCGATCGACAGAATCGAATACCGCTTTCAGGTCAAGAAATATAATGATTGTTGGACGCCGGTAAGAATCCTTATGTTCTAGAATCTATCGGAGGGGGAAGATATGGTCAATTCACTCTCTTCCTGGTCTGAAGCCTGTTTGGCTCTCTCGTGCTTGTTCCTCCCGAGAACCACAGTCTACGCAATATTATTGAGACTAGGACTTTAGATACTATATTAGTCAACCTAATCCCTCTGTGATTATCACAGGAAGACTTGTATCCCTTCTTGTATATGGGGATAATCAGTGACTTACACTAACCAGATGGGACTTCCTCTGATTCCCAGACGCTGCCTAGTACCTCAGTTAATGCAGACAGTAAACTGTCTCCACCGTACTTAAATACCTCTGGAGTCATTCCATCAGGTCCCGCTGCTTTGCCTAGTTTCAGATTGGTGACAGCTTTAGTAACCTCAGTTAGGGATGGAGGACCTGCGTCTATATCCCATTCAGGGAGGTGTTGGATATTCGGAAGGATGAGCGTGGCTGTGAGCCAATTAAACTGCTCCTCATAATGCTCTTTCCAGCGATCCAGTCGTCTATCCTAGGAGCTAATTATAGTGCCATTTTTCTCCGAGATTGTTTCACTTATCATTTACTTTCTACCACTTGTTTCGCTGATAAGTCCTAATAGTTGTCTGATGTTACCAATTGTCGATGCCTTTTCCATTTTCTTTCGCTCTTGTCGCCCACCACAGTTCAGGGTCGTTGCAAAGACTTCTTGCTAGTTATCGTTTGAATAGCTTTCGCTCCCCATCATAATCGGAGCTCACCGGAATCAGTGTCTTTTCGTCGGTCAGCTTGGATGAGGCGGTAGAGATTTAATGGTTATTAATAACCTTTGGTTTCAGGCTATTAACAGCTACATAGCTGTGTCTACAGCTAACTGTATGTTGTCCCAGGACACCTCGGGGAAGTCCTTCTATCGACCTCAGATACACGTTTCGCTATTTCCTCCTGAGTGCCTTGATCTAGTTGGGGACCTAACTGTTTCTTATGTCCGTCTAATCGTAAGCATAAACGCGCGCGAACCAGGGCGTGATCGGGGTCTACGCACATGTTCCAGAAGGAGCGACAGTCTTCTACTGACCCTCGTCAACGATACCCTATGGCTATGTGGTCTATCTGAGTCCAGCGTTGATTTGATGATGGAGGTCGCCAGGTTACGCAGTGTCTCCGTTTTTTATTTTATTTTTATTTTATTTTATTTTTGATTACAGCTTGATTCCACACCGTATTTTTGGTACAAGTATGGAATTTTCAGCGTGGATATCGGTAGCCCAAAATTCGCAGGCCGACCATAGATATCGGGTGTGCGTCTGCGTGGGCTCGAACCCCGGACCATGTGCATGGTCGGCGAGAGTCCTAACCACTGTGCCACCGACGCCTTAAGTTAGTGCTGACTATAAACAGATGATTATCTGAGCAAAACTGTAAAAGACGATCACCGTTGTCGGTTCGTTGTCAGGGAACTCCATATGTACCACCTACATACTTCCCAATCTGGCACAACTTCCCTACTTGGGTATTAAAGTCGCCTGCTAAAACAACTATATCTGAACGTTTTGCTTTTTGCAGCAAATTAGACAGTTTCAGGTAGAAATCATCCTTTAGTTCATCTGAACTGCAGCCTGTTGTGTCGTAAGCGGAGACTACGAAAAGGCAACGACGGGTAGCGCCGTCCTTGCGCCTTTTAACGGACTCATTTGAACGGACCGCACACATACGATCATCGGGTGGGATCCAGTCAAGAAGTGATCTTCTCGCCCTAATACTCAGTGCTATCCCTACACCTGCGAGTCCTCGCAAGCTAGCTGATGTGTCTCCTGACAGCCTGAAGGTGGATTTTCAGACTCACATTGTTGACTGGGTGAGGTTAAGTGAGTAACCGAAACACAACATGCATCCATGGCTCGAGATGGCAGAGTTCTTGCTAGTGATGCCTGTTGTCGGATTTGGCAGAGGGTCCTGACGTTAAGTGCTCCTATATGAAGTTGGCGACGTGGCTTTAAAAGGCTATCTGAGGTGTTTCTATGGCTGTCATCGTTATTTGTGGTCACAGAGTGAAGTGAAGGTGCCTCACTAACCTGAAGAATAGTACTGACTGAAGTAGGGAATAAGATGATGAAGGTGATGTGGTTAGAGGATAATGATGCTCCGGAAGGCTTCATGTGCTGTTAGAAGTGTGTGGGCGGTTGTTACTTTCAGGCTGCCCACACTGTGGAAGTTGGTTTATTCTTTGGGTATTTGTTATAAAAAAGAGAGTTAGTGTTGCTTGAGCGCAGTGCCCAGGGTACTCACGATGAGGTTCGAGGTATCGTTGCTTCACCATAAATTAAATAAAGCACCGATCATTTGGAGAATTTTCAGGTAAGAATCAAATGAGCTTGACGAAATTTAAAAGTAAGAATTTCTTCCAATTACCGATGGTCTATAAGATTGTATTTGAACATTATCCTTCGGCAAAGCGTTTTTGCCGTCAATACACTACAAATTGACTAAGAGGAGCCCACGATTTTCGTAGATGTCTGAGTGTGCTTTAAATTCCTGCTTCGTGTTTTCAGCCCCTACGAACTTATATTAGCAACTGCGGCTGCTGCACCATTGGTGGAAAGCTGTTTTAGGAAGCATGATGGTCAGTCAGATAAACATGGACTTTGTTCAATATACTGTAACCATAATTATTCACACACTTATTTTCATCTGAATATGATTTACATTATTTCTTTGCGTTCCCAATGGAGTATAGGGCTTCAAGGTAGAGCTTTGAAGTTTCGGTAGTATTGATATGTCTTGGCGAAGTGATGTTGCTAGTCTTAATCTTAACCTTCCTTCTTTGTTGGGGCTATTAACGGCAAAGTGAGGTTCAGGAATGCTTCTGCCGGGGATTGAACGCTGGACAATATGAATAGCTGGCGAGCAATCTACGTCTGTGCCACCAACACATTATTTTTGTTCAGACTGCGTATTTATTTGTAATTCTTTCGAATTTGCATATTCAGTATTGACTGTCCATTATTCCTGCTTTTATCTACGATTCAGACTACATCCAGTAATCGACAGTTTGAAATTTTAACTCCTGTCCCAACAGACATTGCATTGAACAAGTCAAATATAACCAGTTACCGATGTCACTAAATTCAATGATCTGGGGTTTTTCATTCAGATGGACGGCTAAAAAATTTCACAGAGGCTCAAAGAAGTTCAAAAACAGATACTTCTCTATCAGAAAATGAGATCATGGCGATTAATTTTGCATCAACCATTCAATGAAAAATATAATTAATATTGAGGGCTTGAACAATTTTCAGTAGAAAATAAAGCAGAAATAAATAAAAGAGTTAATAAATAGCAAAACTGTAAATCGGTAATTGAAAGAAATCAACTGCAGACTTATTTGTTAAGCTGCATCGATAAACTCTAAGGCCACAGCGCTGGATTTATTCTTGACGTAGGTCAAGGTCAGGTAGGCTCATATGTATCATTTATTGTTTCTCTATCTGTGTACCTAATTTTTCCTTCATTGTAATTGCTGTATGATATAAACGCAATTGGCATCAATTTTCTATTATTGGTAGACCTTTTAAGAGTGATTATTACCATAGTCATTCAATTGTAGTCTTTTTTATTTGTGTGAAAGATTCACAACAAGCAAACGCTAACTGTTCAGTTGTCGGTTTCCTAGTTTTCATTTGCCAGTCAGTTTTGATTTTCTTGTGTTTGTTGGTTGGCCCTCCTTCTTGGAAAATACACGACGCACATGTCTGCATGAAATTATAATTTCATTATTTGCTCTAAACATATAACTTGGTGTAAAGAATAATTGACTCTGATGCCTGTGATTCGGCTTTCCTTTTTTATTACATCTCACATATCGTTTACGTATGCTGACAGAGACATTGTATATCAGAACTGTTTCTAGATCAAATGTAGATCGGGGATCCTGGTTTTAGTTTATTTTTTTTATTTTTTGATTACAGCTTGATTCCACACTGTATTTTTGGTACAAGTATGGAATTTTCAGCCCAAATTTTGCAGGTCGACCGTAGATATCAGGTGTCCGTCAGCAGGGGGTCGAACCTCGGACCATGTGCATGGTCGGCGAGAGTTCTAACCACTGTACCATCCACCATCATTTAAACAAACGTGATTGTTTACTAACTGTTGTAGATATAGGCTGTGTATGACGTCCTCAAGATTCACACACCTCAATGTTTAGATATCTTAGTTGGAACTACTAACTTTATTTGAAAACGAATGAAAATTCCGCATTAACTTATATATACATATATATATATATATATGTTGGTTTATCACACCAGATACCTGTCGAATCGGTTATTTTTAGTTTTTCTCTAAACGCAGACTATTACCATACTCGTTTCTCTCTAAAGCAGCTTTCTCAAACATTTAAATCCTACAACAGAATGTTTTCTCCCTTTCGACTACATCTAAACTTATAAATCACATCACATTTTCGTCGGCAACTGAAATAGTTTATTTTAAGTGGAGATTTCATATACTGCAGTGTGTAATTTGCATTTAGATTAATAATCTTCACGGACTGCAGCACATGGTACAAGAATTCGGTTTGTAATAGTGGTATTTTTTGTTTCTGATTTTATAGATTTTTTACAAAGCTTTGTCATATCTTGATATACAAACACATTTCATTTCAAAGTGTCCTCTGCTGAACGTTATTTTAAACAGAACTGCTTTGCCTATGCGTGATACAATTCCGATCTCATCAGGTAAACTGAAAACGTTATTCATCTTCCAATTTATTAAATCAACACTGATGAATAGTAGAATCTTGATTGTGGTTCGAACAGGTTGCTTCAGATCCGTATTAGAGCAAATAATTAGAATATATGTCAAGATCTACGTAAACTTCAAGAATGTTTTGCGGTTTATTACAGAATAAGGGAAAGTCCGCCTACAGCTATATACTTATGCCAGAAAAGTAAAAGCCTAGCTACATGTACATACAATCACGTAAATTGTGCCTGTTCTCTATTCTACTCAATATACGATGCTCAAAATATTACGAAATACTTGATTCACTATAAAAAACCTGTGTATTAATTTTAAGAGGTTCATTATAGTATAACATATCCAGTTGTATCTTCTAAAACAGAGATATTATCAATTTATAACATTGTATTGCTACTAGTCATTGTTGCTACACGTTATATCTACACAACAGCTAAAAGTCACTATTCAGAGTGCTGCAACCAAGATTATACAATGACGGGTCATGTAGCATTGTAAAATAAGATAATATGAAATGGCGTCTTTCACAAAGTGGAATACTTCATATTATCCTGCCGTTCAGAATTATTCATGTGAACTCACTTATTACGTTTTGGTCACTTCAGCGTACAATCATTGGCCTTATCCTAACTCTAATCTATGTGCCATTTCACTATACTTAAGTTATGTGATAAAGACCCCTACATTATTGCATGACTTCTTATCTTACACTATCAGGTTTAGAGAAAAATGGGTCATTTACGACATTACTATTAACCAGGTGTATTTCCTATGCGGCGTCAATCATCCTCTTGGTTATGTGCTTTAAACACTAGTGCTATGATGAAACATATCATATATATGTATATATATATATAATCCAAGTAAACTTTATATGAGGGATGGAGGTTTAAGCGTCTACTCCTTATATAACCAAAATTAAAAATAATCGTGAAAACCAAATTAAATAAATATCAATGTTAATGTCAGTGGTGATAATACATGATTAATTCCTAGAAATAAATAGCTGTTTACTTGGTGCTTATGAAGTAGGTCTTTTAGCTCCCTCTTGTCATTTCCTCTCCACACAAAATCCGTGCTAAATAAGGCATAGTTTGGTTTTTGTATTTACCATAGACGCATGAATCCCAATAAAACTGCTACTAGTATATATTAAAGCGACTCAGGGGAAAATTTGTGAATTACGAGGATATTCACTGTCTGGCAAGATGGCCTTAACTAATTACTTGTACAGATCGGAATATATGTCAACAATGGTTGTTTATGTGGGTCAGAGGTACACCACGAGCGCTGCTTTTAGATTTCAAAGTCTTACCTAATGAGGTCTAGTTTCTTTTCGGAAACCCTTGAAAGAATAAGGAATAATGGGTTGAATACACGAAGTATTAAACTACAAAAAGGCTAAGCGCCTCATATTGAAAAGGTGTGACTGATTTTTTCCAGAAAAATGAGAAAATTACCACCTTATGAGTCAGCGCTCAATGGGTGCTGGGTTGAGCTTACTTACCCAAAGTACTTTAGCAATGGTATCAAAAGCACTAGTGTAATCTAACAAGGTATATCGAACACATTATGCAACTTTATCTAGATTGGAGACAACATTAGGATCCAAGATAGCATCAACAACCAAAGTAGGCGAAGTTAGAGTATCATAGCCAAAGTCAAGGTCCGTCAAGTGTTGACCTTCAAGATCCAATCAGACACAGGGCATGCTATGAAATACCATTCCAAATGGAATCATGCACCCTTTTTTGGACTTGGAGAGGATAGATACAGTACTCTACTTATGTGATAGGTAATTTTTCTGCAAATCTATACTGTTAGGTAGTGTTATGGCGTATACGATTAAGGTTTAGGCTTAAAGTTTGGTTAAGAGTTAGGGGTAGGTTGAAAAATTGTGTCAAATATATCAATGGATCTCAAAGTACCATGGCACACACTTAAATAAATTGGCATATCGCACATGGTACGACTTCTCTGTAGATCACTTGTGTATTGACTGGGAGACTTTCTCACAACATATAAGTGGCAACTGCATGGAAAATATCACGTTCTCAATGTTTTTAGTGCATTTTTCAATGAATGTGCAACTTTCTTCGCATTTGAATTCTCATTGGTTGTCCAAGGTTACTATAATTTTGACTATGATAGTTTAACTTCACCCAAAAATACGTTTATATATATATATATATATATATATATATATATATATATATATATATATATATATATATATATAAACGTAATCCAAATAAACACATGAAAGCTGTGATCTCACCTTTCAAGGTCACTTTTGATTATTGTTCCGTTATCTCAATATGTGCAGTGCCATTAATTACACCTTATACCACTCTGTTATTTCAGATAACCAGATAGCATTTGCTGGATGTAGCACAACTGGGCAAGTACCATACGATCTTTTTATCTAACAGTCATAATCACAGCTTTATTCCAAACAATTTTTTAATACATCTCGGAATTCTGTGTTCGTAAACTTCATTAGCAGCCATCTATTTTGGTTGATACGATTCGCCAAATAATTTTCATCTTCGGTAGATTAAACTGTGGCGAGAACGTTGGAAGCAGTCTGACTAATCTCCATCTGCACTAGAGTTACTTACTTTCGTCTTCAGCCTTATCAGAAGGTGGACATTGGTCCTGCAGATCTGACTAAAGCTGTGAAAACTGTCTAAACTGAAATGGCGAAGCACAAGAGAATCTGATGTTTTGACTTTAGGAGTTTTCGATTATGTTTCTACGGAATGATTGGTCAGAATGGTCAAGGTTCTAGTTAGTGTATAGGAATTCACCTAGCTAAAGCTGATCTTCGATCACCCCCTATTTTATGGAAGGGGATAAATCTTCGTGTAATAACCACATAAAAATCAGCCTATTTAGTGCAGTATCTAAAATCTCAAAGTTGATAATCATATATGGATAAAATAGAACTCGTAGATAACAGACTCTAAAAAAGCAATCAGACGAGTGTACATCGATCAAATCTTCATTCGTCGACAGGTTAAAAGTCAGAAATAATAAACGACATCAAACACTTACCATATCTCTTAACTAGTGGGTGGCATTTGACTCTATTGATTTAGAGGTATATTGTCGATGTCCGATGACAAACAGAGTATCAGTAAAGTTTATTATGCCACTCAAGAAACTTTTCTAAGATATATGCCTACAGAGAGTTGCTATCTGAAATGACAACAACTAGCAGTCTCCAAGAGGGACGTTCAGCGTTACCATTCCTATTTGATTTTATTATAGGTGTGATCAGTGTGTGAAAGGTGAGTCTGCTTTCGATTTGATGCCGCAGGAAATGACTAGCTACCAGAGAAAAAGTTAATTAAATTAAAGTGGCAAGACCGTTGTTTTCTTTTATCTGCACTTCCTAGAACAGTCTCAGCTTGAAGTAATACGTTTCTATACAAAATTCTACGTTGATCTGTTAATCAGTCATTATTTTTACATGATTGATGGCTGAGAAAAAATGACGTATTGTTGTGATCTCCTGAAGATCCCTCTAAATTTTGATTTCAATACTTGCTACCAAAAACTGTATATCTGCATGCCTCATAAGCATTACTTTTGCGTATATAAACTTTAAGTGGAATGAAAAGCTCCTTAATAATTACATGCATTTAAGTACAATCGAAAGTGAGTCACACGTAGTGTTAAGACTGATAATTCTACTTGGCAGCCCAAACTTCAAGAGTTAAAGTTTGGTTCCAAACTCTGATGCGGTAGTTAATAGTTTGCTGTCAAAATTAAATCACAACTTTACTGTTCATTAACTTGATCAAAACTAAGTTTTAAGAGTAAGTGGTATGGTTTTTTCAAAATTGTTACATAAGAATGATAATGAGCGATGACTTTTGTTTTAAGTTTTAAAATAAATTATATAAAATTCATTCAGTGAATTTAAAGTTATTGGTTTGCTGCCTGGCAAACTTTTGTGCGAAAGATTCTAGTGAGATCTTCTTATGGTTATTCTGGTAAATCTCAGGTGAGTTTAATATTATTTTAGCACTCAGTGACATATAACCGATCTCTCTTCTGTTGACCAGTTTATTTTGTATGTTTTCTCAGAAAATGAATTCCTTTGATAACGCTGTGGATGGCGATCAGACCAACCCACGACAAACTGAAATTGAACAGAAAAAGCTAGATATTGCCTGCTTGAAACACAGTTTGGAGATTAATCGTGTTGCACTTAGCAAGACAATATGGGATATACGTAATCATTGCTTCACAAACGCCCAAAATGATCCCTTACTCTGTCCACCAAAAGATAATCCGTATAAAACACAAAGATCATGTACTGTTATATAGGTTTCTTAAAATTTCTTTGAGCTTTTTTTATACCTATCCACCTGACTTATTATGATTTATCTTTATGCTTTTAATTTCTTCACGCTTTGGAGATGATGGTTTCATTTAGTTATTTGCAAATGCTATGTGATCGGTCTTTTTTCTTTACCTTGATGTCAACGAATGTTCAAATATGTATTCACAATGCTTAATTTAATATTTCTTATGCTAAAGCTGAATATTTGTTTTAATAACTTCCAAGTTATTTGTTTATATGTGCTAATGTCTATCTAATACATTGAATATTATAATCTAGAATTGACTATAGTTTGGGTTTATTCTTGATGAAAAACTCTTAAGATTTCAGCATAAGAAACAGCAAAATATTTTGTAAAGACTGTGCATGCGCGGTTTTACATCTACAGGTAAATTTGGAGATTCAGAGGTCTGGAGCAATGTAACTGATGTATCAGTAAAGCTGACTGAACTCTAACAGCAGTAGAATGTCCAGTATTCATGTATGCTCTTCTCATCGTTTGTGTACTACATCGAAAGTGGTCACTCGAACTGTGGAGCATTTGTGCGAAGTTCTACATTCAAAACAGTCAGTTAATATTTTGGGTTACAATAGTGTATTTTGAACTTAATTTACTTTTACTTTACTTCGGCTATCTCCTACGGGAGGATGAGCCGGCTTCATGAACATGAGTTCATGAAGTTTCATGGGAATTAGGTACGAGTGATGTCCCCAGCATCGCTCGGCCTTTTGTTTGAGAGTGCAGCTCTAGCCTTTATACAACCAAGCGTGACCTACAAGGCAGTAGGAGTGGAGTAGGGAGTCCACTATCCATTGGCAGCCGGTGACCGGAGTCCGGTTCGTACGCCTTTTTGAATGGGGCCAGACATCCAGGGCATCCAATAAGCCCTTTGTCAATGCGTCTGCCGGTGAGCTTCATACGCCAGTCGTTGGAGGTTTGGAATCAGGGTTTAGCCATCTCCCCTAGACTGTCATCCCATGGACAATCAACCCGGTGGAGAGCGCCGGGCATCCGCTTTCGCCCTCTCGCTTTAGTGAGAAACACCTCCACCACGTGAAGGCAGTGAGTAGGAGTTCTTCAGGAGAGGCTATGTAAGACGCCCGGTCATATGGGAGCATTTCAAGAGGTGTATGGAGAGGTGGCCAACACGCAGCGCAAGACACCCACCCCCGACCATCCTGGGGCTTTGGAGGCTTTGGGCGAAAAATATCAACAATTCATCCTGAGTGTAGGCCGAAGGGCGTGTTAATAATTGTGGTTGCTTAACAGCAGATTTATTGTTTTTGCCCGTAGTTCATAATCGGATGTTTTTCGTAAATCTATGATCATATCTGTGATAAGATAACCAAGATTTCATGTACTGTAAAAACCACATCAAGAAAATCAAGTTTGTGTGAGTATCCGTCTATCACAATCGGATGCTGCTAAATATAAGTAATCAGCCACTAATAGTCCTTGTTAACTACATATAGGTGACTTTAAAACCAGGTATTAATCTTTTATTATTTATTTATTATCATGTAGTTGATTAAACTTAGATGAATTTTTAAGCAGTAAATTTTGTTTAGTTTTCTGCTGGTCTTTTCCTTTGCCTCTCATCTACTGCCCTGAGGACTTTCTTCTCGTGACTGTAGTCACTTTTCTACTGCCTAAATAACAGCCTCACTTTTCACTTTATGATAAAGACAATTTGACAAGTTTTAAAAAAGCCGAAAGCCTTAGCAGTATGTGAAAAAATTAATTAAAACGAAGTGTCTTTGCTTCACTGATGGTCAACATCGTTTTAATCTCTAGTTCGTACGCAGCACTGACACTTAATCTTTTACTCACCTTCCAACTCCAGCCTTAAAATCATTTTTAGGTTGCTTTTGTTTTGTAAACCTCCAGTAGAATTGTGTTGTCTTAAATACCACTCATAAAATGATTAAAAGTAAACAAATGTTGTAAATCATGTTGAGAAATCCAAATGTTATAATTTTTGATGGCCATATTTGATGAGTAGGTGGTAGGCACCTGAAGAGCGATTTCAGGAAAAGTGTGTGTGATATATCAGAATTGAACCAAGTGATCGATGCAGAAGTTTAGTAGAAAGCACAGCACTTCAATGTATCACACTTCATAAAGGCACACACCTATGAGAAAGAAATGCGCCTGAGCTGCAGCAGACGGAATTTACGCGAGAATAAACAATTACATGAGCAATAATAAAGATTCAATGAATCTGTGAGGTGACAATAATTGAATGCATCTGAGCCATTCAGAACGACTTTGAGCAAGGTCTCTAACCATTGGTTCTTAGGGTACAAACAGTCTGCACTTTCCTCTGTAGCTCTAACCAACAATTAAAGACTTCATAAATTGATACCATATTTTCATTTGACCACCACCCAACCTTATATGAGCTTCCATTGCTTCTAGAGGAAGGCTGTGGTTTGGTAGGCGCAACACGTATCCTAGCTGTATTTTTTGGCTGATCTCCACAACGTCATTGGTTGACCTATACTCCTTACCTAACACTCGTCGCCTAACCACATTGGTGATCATTAGATTGTGGTAGTCAACATAGGAGATATAATGCAAATACCTATGGCCGAAGACAGCTAGCCTCTTCTTCAATGATCATGTCTCACAAATATAAAGAAGGATACGGTAAACTGTCGCGTAGCATATATCCTTCAGCGACTAGTCAGGTATTATGTCTACACCAGAGAAGATGTTCATCAGCGAATCCCACGCCAGCCTTTTTCATCCTTGCTGAAACTTTATCAGCAATCAGGGCTAATACAACTTCCTAAATAAGTGAATAACTCAACCATCTCATTGTCTACCCTTAAACTAGGAGTCCTATAGCCTCATCTTATATTTGAAATAAGCACATTGCATACTAAGATTTCGTCCAAGGTGTTCGCCTAGAAGTACTACATCACCTGCATACTGCAAGTTAATAAAACTCTCCCTCGTAAATAATCCAGTCCTTGAGTCACCAAAATCCATCTGCAATAAAATCAGATAAAAGATAGTGACACTGAACATCACTAGTGGACATCGCTCGCTGTTTTCACCTAAGATGACCAAACTCTGTAAGCTCTTACACGAATGCGTGAGTTCAAGTACAGTGTGTTCGTTAGTGGTATACACTTTCTCGACATTCTTTTCACATTCAGACATCACCACAATAACAATAAGTCGACAGAGTCAAATATATATACAGACCATCCCATGATTGACCTAAAATATTCTCACATTGATACAACTCTGACGATAGACAGGTCTGGTCAGAGCCCTAGAAAGCCTTACTACTTATATGCGGTGCGTCACAAAGATTCGCGTGTAAGATCCCAGTGAAGAGCTTAGAATACCTCAGCCTGCATAACTGAAAACCATGTTTTTCCGTGAGCCTGTCCGGCGACTATGTGACATCGTTATCCGGTTTAGCTGGTGTCGCACTGAGTGCTATAACCTGACCTGTATTTTTCGACTGGATCCCTGTAGATAGTCTTTCATTTTCCAAGAAGCTAGAAGGTTATACTAAACTATCACTGTCCGGATGCAGTTAACGATAACTTTTACTATCAGCTGAGCGACAGTCAAAAGCATGCGTTTCCAACAGATATTGTAGGTCAGCAAAGCCTGAGTTGCCTCTTTGATCACAGTCAGCGTAACAGACACCCTAATCTCCCGAAAATTCACACAATAGGCCCACGCTACACAATAACATCAGCTACATATTCTAGAAAATGAACAATTTATACAACAGGTTCGCTGATGTAACACTTCATTTTGCAGCAAGATGACATTCAGATTTGTCCGAAGGCCATTCTAACTACGAAGGTAGGTCTTTTGAAATTTAACTTCAGAGGTAACAATACAGTATTTCTCAGTATAACGGGACTCGAATATAACAGAAATATTTTAAATTTCTTGGCTTCTTAGAGACCGACTTCAGCTAATGATCAACATTTCCTGTGGTATGTGATATTGATTTTCCCATGGTAGTGATTAATTTTATGAATGTTTCTGGATATTCATATGGTACTTTTACGATCGAGTTTCTTATTTAGTTTTTGTTTACTCTATTATTTTTCGCTTTCCCGAAGATTTTAATGATTTTTCGGTGGTTTGCCTCTAGTATTACATCATTTGCAGTTGCTGTTTTGCGTAGCCAATAAAGGATCTATCTTTATACCTCAAATGCATATATATATATATATATATATATATATATATATATATATGCATCTGAGGTATGAAAGATATATCTTTATATATATATATATATATATATATATATATATATATATATATATATATATATATATATATATATATATATGATTCCATATGCCTACGTAAATTTTAAGTAGTTATTGTAGCCTTATAATCCCACCCCAGTATTTACTACTCAAATTATATTTTCCTCTTTTTTATTCATACTGTTAGCTTTTATTAATATTTACATTCCAACTTAAGTTACAGTATAAATGTATGTCTAATTTGCATCTTCATCAGCAATTTTAGCCTCGGTTAACAAGTCACAAGCGTTTTTGTGTCGTGACCAGTGCTTCACTTGGCATTCTCGCCCGCAGTACCACTCCTGACGACACCTGGAACATCTTTTAGAAGCTACTTCTCCACATATGGGACACCTTGGGGTTGGATAGAGAGGATTATTATCACCTGAATCTCCTAATGAAGAAGAGAACAGTTGACTAAGATGCTCTTCAGAGAATGCATCAGTCCATTTGATTGCAGCTTTTCTCGCTGCTTCTTTTCCACGATTCGATTCACTTTGTTCTGTAAATAGTCCTGCTAGTTTCTTCCATTTGTTTTTATATCTAAACGGAGGTTTAAAAAATAATGAATGTTTAGAATACACCAAAATATTATAATTTCAAATCTAAAAAATCTGATGAAAATGAATAATAATGTAGTATACACATAAACTAAACTGATGCTCCACTCTTATATTGTAGTGATATTCTAAAAAGTAGTGACATTCTAAGTTGGATATCATACTCAGTAGGCCTATGACTTTATTTGATGTGTTATTGGGACTGCAAAAATGGTAAGCTAAAAAGCCTGTTTTATTGTCTGACAGACAGATCAGTGTAGGACATGATTTAAAAAGCGTCACTTCAAGCGACGGGATCTCGTATAGTAATTCTGCAGTCATTAGTATATCACCTCAAAAAAAAAATATCTGAACTCTTCTGTATTCTTATGTAAACTTTTTGGCTTCTTCAGACTCCTCTGGAGCATTTAAATAGTAACTACGTACATAAGAACACTCAGTTGTTTTTAAATATCTTTGAATTATCGATCGCATCCATATTTGTATACTGAAGTTTTATGCTGTTAGGCTTGCAACCATCTGTAGCAGTAAACCTGTTCGAGGTCTACAGTCGATCAACAGACTATATTTAATTTGTGTTGAGTATTCTAGAGTAATTTACAAAGTATCTCCCACTTGGTCAAATTTCACTGCGATGCTTTTTTTTAGCTGAAGCATAAGTAATGCACATTACATTGTAATATTTATAGAAATGCACAACTTACTTGCTCAACAGGCCTTCACGGATTTCTGGAACAAGTTCAACCAGGCACATATTAGTTTTGTCCCCAGCACCTCTGTAAGATTCATTCAAACTTAAGTGTTCTACGAACCGTCGCAGATCAATTAAAACAGGAAGAACGTCTAGTTTTGTTTCAGTAAGAAAGGGACGTAGTTTCATCAAAGCCGTTCTTCTATGACCAACAGAGCAGTCATATTGTAAAGACGAGTTATTAGCTAGTAATATTTGAAACAGACACAACCAAATCTGTCAAATGAATAAAAACAGATTAAGTGTCAAAACTTAGCCATGATAGATATGGGATTAATTATTTCACGTGCATATTTCAGTAAATCTGTTGCAGATAAACATTCAGAAACGTCCGTTTCTTTTGAATGGCTTTATGTATTCATTTCCTCAACGATAAAATGGCAATTATTTTTTTTCGAAGACTGGTATTAGGAAATTTCTAAATCCGGTGATTTTGCAAGTTTTCTGTCTGTTTTCGACATAGAACTTTACACCGATGTGCAGCAGTTAAAGTAGCCACACTCCAAGTAGCACACAAATCAAGAGAAGAAAGTAGAAGAAATGCATAATACAGACAGTAAACAGAAGTGTAAGACTGAGGAGTAGTAATAACGAAAAACAATAAAGTTTCATTGGAAATCATAAGTCACAAGGAGTGGATGCATCTGCGCCAGCCAAAGTGAAGATTTTGAGCCATGTCACCAATTGTTTCCAGCCATTGGTTTTTACCGTCCCAAGGACCCCAAGCAGTGAGGAAGTCTACACCTTCTTACGTGACTGGCTTGAACTATATGTTGTGGATTCCATTGACTGGTGCCATGTTTTGGTTTGACCGCCGGTAGCTCTTTTCCAATCTGATCCATCCTGTCAGCTAACATTGCCTATTGTCGAGGAAGGCGATGACTAGGCATACGTAACACATGTCCTAAACGTCTCAGTCGATGCAATTTCACATCCTCGTCGATTGATTTCCCCTCCTCACGTAGCATTCGACGCCTAATCTAAATATTGCTCACGTCATCATACCACTTCACACAGGAGATAGAGCGCAGTCACCTATGATCAAAGACAGCTAACCAGCATTTTCATGTCTTCCACTCTCAATGGCCAGGTCTCACAGCTGGCCATAAAGGAGGACGGAGCGGACTGCTGTGCAGTACACCCGCCCTTTGGGCGATAGTCGGATATCACGTCTACACCAGAGACGGTGTAATCTGGCATATGCGAAACTAGCCCTCAGCATCCCTACTGAGATTTCGTCAGAGATCAACCCGTTGGGGCTGATGCAACCTCCCAAATAAGTGAAGTGGTTAACATGCCTTACCACTTCACTACCTATTTCTAATCTAGGAGTCAGTGTAGTCCAGACCAGTCCTGTAGCATCATCTTACATTTGACAGGAGCGAATGCATGCCAAACATTCGTAGATTGCAGCTTAAGGTGTTCAGAAGGCTTTATTTTGTCAGCGTCCTCGCCTAGGTGGGAGGACTATATCATCTGCATATTGTAAGTCGACGGGATTGTGCCCTGACGGTAACAAGTCAATCCCTGAGCCCCTGAAGTGAGTTAGGGTTAAGTCCATTAATACATCTATGATGAAACTGAATAGAAATGAAGACAGAGGACATCCCTAACGGACACCACTAGTTGTCACCACTTCGGATGACAACTGGCCGTAAGCCCTCACCTGGCTGCATGAGTTCGAGTAGAGTGCCTTGATTAGTGAGATGTATTTTCTCGCCATTCCCTTTACAGCCAAGCATAGCCGGAGTACCTCTCGGTCGACAGAATCGAATGCCGCCGGTAAGAAAGCCTATGTTCTGGAATCTGTTGGAAGGTTAAGATATGATCAATACACCTACTTTCTCGTCTAAAGCCTGTTTGCAAGTTTTGTGTCGGATTTAGTCTGTAGAGTTTATAGTAACTCATGTATTCCCATACTGGCAACTGAAACATGAAATTTAGGTACATGAGTGCTTTCGGCAATCTTTCATCAAGCTGTACAATTAAATTACTTTACGCAAACATTTAATACAGCTGAACTGAATTAGTAGTATGAATTCGTTGGGAATAATAATCGTTCACGTGTTTATTAAATCTAAGTACCAGTATACGGAGGCAAAGGGCATAACAAGCTGTGAAACTAAGAGCAAAATCTGCAGTCATAAATAAAAAGGATTGGTCACAACTCGACATAACTTCATGTAACTAAACATAATATTTACAGTTTTATCACATGACCGGGAAGAAATTATTTTACCTGTATCTAAGTCAAAGGTGAAGGTGACTCGACGGATAGGAAATGAACAAACTTTTCGCACACAAATTAGATTAGCAAATGTTTATGATCAGTACTCCGATGACGTTCGTATTTCACTCACTTATTAACCGAGAAATTTGCCACACTTCGATAAATCATACATCGAAGCAGGGAAAGGAAGTAACATGAAGTTGCGATAGACGGAAATGGGCAAGAGAAAGGGTAATCAAATGAAAATTAATGTTAAGCTTTCAGAATTCCGATGATAACAAGGAGTGCATTCTCCTACCTCTCTGTTGACAATTTTCAGCCTTGTCACTGACAATCTCCGACTGTTAGCTCTTAAACTCATGGTGACCCTAAAGAGGTAGTCTACGCCTACCTACGTGGTACAAACGTAAAAACAGTTAATTCATAGACTGCCGACCCGTTTCAACTTAACCAACTTACACTATTTCTTAACCTTATCTCCTCACTTCAGACTAAATTAAACCTCATTATTTAAAGTTGTCAGATTACAGAAGACAGGTCTGAAGAGGACCTGGAATTCTCATTAAATCATCTAACTTCCGCAGCTGTATCTTCTTCTCTTCTACAGCTGCAACTGAATAAGGGTAGTGAATAAATCTCAACGCATTAATATTCATATGTATTTTTACTAAGCATTTCATCTCGTATTCCTCAGAATTAAAACTCAATAAACACTGTAGTTTCCAGATTTTTTGCAACCTGTCAAACTCACAGTGGAAAAAAACTAACGACTTAAAGAGGCTATGGGTGTAAAACTTCGACTAGGACAAGCTAGATACAGAAGAAGCAACTCTACATATTGTAATCGAAAAGAACATGGAATGGCAGTTAAATCTTCAAATCAACTTCACGACTTTGATAAAGATATCAGTGCCGTTGACAGCGAAGTTACTTAGAAAATGCTGCAGCACTACAGAGCACCTCAAACCCTCACCAACGTCATTCAGAAGCTATACGATGATGTCAAACGCAAGGCGAATCAGAACAAATAAATGTCACCGATAATACAAGCCTATCTACTATCACCGATTATATTCTATTATGTGGTGAACAAGATCATGTGGGATACCGCGGAAAATCCAAAAGTTCGGCCAAGAGGAATAATCCAGAAGGACTGGAACTGGTTAGTGATTAAGTATAGTATCACAAATTAACAAGTTGTCATAAGTAGCAGAAAGGACAGGACTTCAAGTGAACCTTCAGAAGACAGACGTGGTTAAAATACCTGAATACCAGCGACAACGCTCACCTATCACTACTGATCGGAAAAATTTGAGACGATACCATCTAACACATATCTAGGAAGAAGAGGCTCAACTGCAGGCGGTACAGATGATCGAGAAGAAGAAGCACACATCGACTGCTCTGACGTCAGTGCGGAAATCTGCTGCACTCCACACAAAAAATAACAACAGTCGGATTTTTACACTAGTGTCAAGTCAGTTCTTCCAAGTGGTTCGGTGACTGGGTGTGTCATCCAAAACACTTCAAACAGGCTGAAGACTTCTATCAACAACTGCCTTCACTCCGTACTGAAGATCAGATGACTAGAGAGGATAAGAAACGAGGGAGTCTGGAAACGAGCCAACCATGTATCTATTGTTCAACAAGTAGTTAGGGGGGATGGAGATGAATCGGACACATGTTGAGGAGACCGTTGAATGACATCGGTTGATAGGTACTCAGAAGATCCTGAATCGAAAACGATGAGTTGGGTGTGTGAGGGTGACGTGGAAGAGGTCATGTGAAGAGGAATTCGAAGCTTAGTTTTGATTGTGTGTCCAGTTTAAAGAGACTGAAGAGTATATGATGAATCGGAGATACTTTCTTGTTGCACTCGGAATCTAAGGGAATAATGATGATAGTAATCCTTTGATTTCAATTTTGAAAATACGTACTTAAATTGTCAGGTGTATGATGTATCACTTAAAATCCAATAAATTCTGTGTAAGGTATGTATTTCCAAACCGAGTTCACTTTTGACAGTTTGAAAAAAGGTTTAGCATTGGTACATGAACTTCATCAACAGAATCAACACTGACATTAAGTATGGTCGAAGATGTGTTCCGAAGACTTGGGCCTCAACAGTAGTCATTCCATATAGATCAGAGACGTCAGACGATATCAGAAGAATACTCAATAAGCACGACGTCAGAGTTTTCTCCAAAACATCAAACTCACACACTACAAAGCAACCTTGTCCTTATAAAAGACCAAATCCCCAAGGATTCTGTATTTAATTGTGTCTGTGAAATAAAATGCTTGGAATGTGATGCGATATACATCGGACAAAAATCCGCAGAGGGAAATCAAAATCAGAAGAAATGAACATTGTGGAGCATCTAATCGACCACTTGGAAATCCAGTTGAACCAGAAAAGCCTGAAAATTGATCAGCCATAGGTGGTCTAGACGTCATAGTATCAGGTCACACAATTGATTCTGACAATATTGAAATCACCATCCAGTAAATTTCTAATATCAAAAGAACTTCATATCTAGTGATATCCAAGTTGTCTGAATAGGAATAATGGAATAAAACAGAATTCGACCTGGTTAAACACCCCACCCCCATGAAATAACAAAATCAACACGAATGTGATAAGCAATTTCATTATGTGAACCACACGCTGGTTTTATAGTTTCATACACTTATCAAATCCAACAGTCTACACCTAGTTTGTAATCTTCACCAATTGGATGGGAAAGTTCCAGAATAATTTCCGGTTAAGGGTCACATTAATAAAAATTAAAATTAGGAATTAGAATGTCATAATATCATAATAACTAATAATAACCAAATTGGCCAACTTGACAATGCGAAATTGACCCCATGCTGATGGACGATGACTTAAGTGTTATATATACTCTGAGATTTTGTAAATTCTGATTTGATAATACTCTGATAAAGCTATTAGCATTAAGTAGCGAAACGTCAGTAAAAAAATATCGTTTTTCGTTGATTGGGAAATACAAAACTCCTTCATTATAATGTATGTAAGGTAGTCGGTACATTTTTTGATTACAGATGGGCATAATCCTCCTGACTTTCTACTAGTGAAACAAACAGTAAGAGACGATTAGTTCCCACTCAGATAGTTGTTTCTGAGTATACACGTGCTATGAAGTGGTAGTTTAAATAGCTACCATGATCAATAATAGGTCACTGCCTGTCATTTAGGAGACCACGACATTTTCTATCAGCAGCATTTAAGAATCATTAAACTAAGCTGGAAGACTTTTGATGGCGGTTCTTCAGGCTGATAATACATTTGAATATTATTTCCCGAAAGTATCCGTCGATTTCAGCGCACACTAGCACACACTTTCTGGACAATTAGAGTTTTGTTTCGAGCCAAATGTTTACAGACTGTTGTTAAGTAACCAGCCAATTTTCATTGAAGTCTCCTTGCATAAATAGATAAATATCGGTCATAAGTTTAATTTACCTGGCCATTTCGCACTGGTAGTTGTTAGACAGGAATCACTAAAGATATACCTTTTTCAAACTAATGGTAACAGATAGGTCTGGCTGAGAATGGCGCAACCCATTTGTTACAATTGCTTAGTTATGGAAGTAAAAACATTCCGTTAAGGAATAAATGTAGTTGGCGATTGTGGATTTTCATTTTCATTACTAAGAGAGTTTTGTTTGAAAACACTGGTTCTGTAACATACAAACCAGTCACCTTCTCTATCCATCTACCCAATTTTCCGATGTCTTCCACGTGTAATAAGTTATTTTCCTGGAATTTCCAGAAAACCCTCTATTAATGTCTAGAGTGAAGAAGCTAGGCTTACTTGTAAGAGCATATGTTAGAAGCCACTTTACACTTTTGAAATAGTTCCGAATAATTTTACCATTTTACTCAAAATGTAGTCAGCAAAAGTCGATTTTCATTTCACTAGACAGTGACTGAACTCAGTGGACTTTTGAAAACTTGATTTAGAGGACTAAATAAATATCAGGGAAATGTCTTTGTTTCTGTTCTTTGAAAATATCATTTTAACTTAGTGAGGAATATACTTGAATGATTTATAGAGAAGTATAACAGTGATAATGAAAGTTTACTAGTAGTAATTATTCCCCATGTTCATATATTACATTATTTAAGGAATTAATCTTAAAGGAATACAAATTCAGAAATTAGTCTTTAGTTATATATAAATATTTGTACTTTTATATATTTACCTGAGCTTCTGTTTTGTGAATAATATCTGAACTTTTATCATCTACAATCCAGGATCCATTTTCTTGCCAAATATATTGACAACGTTTTTTAGCACTTTTGTCGTAACCGATTATTTTCCAGGGTTTTTGTTCAAGTAACTGACAAAGCACAATAGGAATGTCATGCGTATATAATAGACGACGTCCAACACCAAGAGGTAATGAACCGTTTGAATTTAGGCAGTTTTCAATCAAATGCCTGACAATTGTTATAGCCTTGAAGCATTTTTCATATTCTGTAATCTTATTCTGACGATCCAAATCTTCTAAATTGCTGGTTTCGCTAACCTAAATACCAGAAAAGCGAAAATAATGGATAGTTTAGTGTTTATAAATTTCTCTATGAATGCAGTTTACAGGGTGATTCGTGTGGAAACTAGAATCTAACAATCAATTGTCGATTCCAGTCATTTTTGGTACTAATCAGGAAACCTACAGTATGTCAGACAGTTTTGATCTGTGACAAATGAATTCATAGATAAACAGTATGCCTTGGTCTACTCAATCTTAGGTTATAACAATCCTGCTTCGACTCTACTTAGTATGACACTTCCAAGGAAGTGGTGAGATTTAACCAACTAAAGTTCCTAATGCTAAAACTTCATGGCCTTCTTAGCCTTTTTGTTTTCTTTATTAAGAGTTCTCTGTCCAAAATGAGTTATTTGCATTTCATCACAAGGAATTCTTCCGATTAATTGACTTGGAAGGAAAACTCTTTCAGAAAACCTGTTATTGAACTGCAAGCATTTTACATCAGAGTCCGCCTTATAAGTGTAGGAAAAACTATTCTGAAAAAGATGACTACATTTTTCTATGAGAAATCTGGTATCTAGAACCACGTTAAACAATTATCCTGCTATTTCCCTTAATTTTACTACATTCAACTTCATTTTACGGTCGTTTTTCAGCTAGAGTTTGCCGGTCATATTAAGATAGTGTGATCGCTGTTCATATAGTTTCATCTTCATTTAACTCAACTTATGACCAATTACATTGCCTGGTGGCTCTAATAAAGTCTGACAAACTATCAAATATATAATCGCATTTGGTTGAGTGAAAGCAGCTGGAGTATTCTTTTTGGGATAAAATTTTATTTCAGTTTTCTGTCAGCCGAAATTGATGTGAATAGTTTTGCTACAATTTTCAATTACTTCCATAAGTTTTTGTGCTTATTGATCCAGCGTACAGTTGATGTTAATTGGAAGTACCTATCCCTGATAAAAGTTAAATGAAATAATAAAATGTCGTATAATTACGAGTACGCTAGTATGAGATTGAATATATTGCAGGTTTTGACTAAGGTATTTATTATACATTGGTATATCGGATGTAGTATCAACTGGAGAATTATTTCAGCGCACAGTATTTTTCAAACTGAACTTAACGAACTGGGGCAAAATTGTTCTCACCGTTCTGCAGTTTCCTGTCATCCTCAAACTAATGAAGTCCTCTCCAAGATACATAATTTTGCGGCTACTATTCTGTCAAATATAAATTTAAATTGTTTTTTATTTCTTTCAACTTTCACTTACTAGTATTCTAATTCTTAACGTATCAAAATGGTGTTATGGTGTTCCGTCTAAGATGTCTTTTTCAAACAAAAATTCTGAGCTGTGTGGCAACATCCACAAATTATGAACAGATCATAGTTTTACAAACTATGAAGTCGTATTAACCCTTAAGAATCACTTATTCAAAACCATGATACATGTGGTTTCAATGAAAAGCGATACGGATGACAGTGACAAAGACAGGATCTCGAAAACAACATAAGTTCTCATTGCTCTGACGTCAGTGCGGAAATCTGCTGCACTCCACACAAAAAATAACAACAGTCGGATTTTTACACTAGTGTCAAGTCAGTTCTTCCAAGTGGTTCGGTGACTGGGTGTGTCATCCAAAACACTTCAAACAGGCTGAAGACTTCTATCAACAACTGCCTTCACTCCATACTGAAGATCAGATGACTAGAGAGGATAAGAAACGAGGGACTCTGGAAACGAACCAACCATGTGTCTATTATCCAACAAGTAGTTAGGGGGTATGGAGATGAATCGGACACATGTTGAGGAGACCGTTGGATGACATCGGTTGATAGGTACTCAGAAGATCCTGAATCGGAAACGATGAGTTGGGTGTGTGAGGGTGACGTGGAAGAGTTCATGTGAAGAGGAATTCGAAGCTTAGTTTTGATTGTGTGTCCATTTTAAAGAGACTGAAGAGTATATGATGAGCTGGAGATGTTTTGTTGAAGTCCTATTATATGACGTGTTTAAATTGTTATTATGATAGCATATCTCTATTTATTCTCAGAATCCTAAAATTAGTTATGTTAATGTAGTCTGATAAGTGGAAGATAATTAAGATGGTTATGAACTCCACAACGAATAATAATAAACTACCTTGTTTTTCAATTCAAGATACGTAGACTTTTCTTCTTCTGAAGCGGAACGACTGACAAGGTGACACAAAGATCTATAACACCAGTCACACATGTCAGTAATCGAATCTCCAAAAGTTTCTACTGTATCACTGTGATATGTTACAGTTTCTAACAAGTTTGCTAAGACTAATTCGTGATATATTATGGTGTACAATGGGAAAGCTGTACTAGGTTCCTCTTTCTTGCTGAGTATGACTTCAAAGACTTTTTGTTTCCATAATTCTACCATGATTAAGTCATAAACTAAAATAGATATTTTTTGATGGTAACAAGAAATTCCTTGACAAATTCATCTGATTGAGCACGAGCTGAAGCGACAGCCTGAAAGTAAGTTAAGTTAATAACACATTTTTACCTGCATATTCAGCTTATTTAAATATCCGTGATAATTGAACCACCTTTCTAAACCATATTCTTCATATTTCACAAACTTCATCGACTGTATAAATGTTTCAGCTTCTCCAGGATACAAAATATATTGTTCTGTATTCTTGTATTATGGAACAAAGTATAATTTCATAAGTTTGCAGTTGTAAAATGTGCAATATACGTTATAACAACTTTCTCACAGCCATAATAAAAACGTTAATAATTAAGATGTGAAGAATGCATGTAATCTGTCATCAGAATCCGTTATTCGCTTCAAACCATCAAGAGGAATGGTACAGTAATCTGATCAGAAAGATCCATAGACACAATGAGTAGCTATAATATATTTTAACACTATGTTATTTTTATGAAATTTGTCTGTAAACCTACAACTTTGTCAACAGCTAGCATATTGGAAGTTTATTCAGAATAGGAACAGTAAAGTTCAGTTAACTATTTTTCAAGCAATTAGTCTACCATTCAGAACCCATTGACAATGGAATCCCAATGTCGGTTCCATTTTTTATTGGGCTTATTGTATAAATGGATTTTTAATGCTGATTAAAATACAGCATTTTCCTGAACTTCTCTTCCTATACTCACTTGAATACTAAGAAGGCAACAACTGTGGTTAAAAAAAGATTTTTTCCAGTTGCCAATCAGTGGAAAACCATCAAAACTGAACTCTAGTATGACTGTGTCAATCAGAAGTAAAATAGCCTCAAAACACTAAAAGAAATATTGAAAAGGAGAGGAAATAAAATAGTAAAGCAAGATTTAGAACAAATTTTAATAAAGTCGAACGATTTCTACAGTTATTACTCAATTTTGGGTTGGAAAAGTACTGACTAAAACACGTGTAGATAAAAATAATGATAGCTTCCGAACTGTTGCTACATTGTTGCTTAGATGCTACTCATACCTTTCCTTCATAAAAAAGGAAGGATAAATAATTGTGATATTGTGGCTAAGATCGATAAAATGTATTGCACTAAAAATTTACATGGAATAAGTTAGTCGGGCGATTCACGAGACGATGTTTAAATACCTGCACCCTAAAATGATGACCGGTACAGATGATATGCACTCCTCTTAAGCCACAACCATGTAAATCACCCAGATGTTTTGTGGATTAGGCGTCGACAAAACTGCTATTATTGTGTAGGAAATTTCTCAGAGGAGCATAAATAAATATACGAATAGCTTTTACTCCTATTAACGTTTTGTAAATAGTCCATTTTGGTAACTTACATGAGAACATATTGAAATCGAACCATCCTATCCTTTTATATGTACAAAATTCAATTTACAAGCAGACTTTCCATGATTATAATCGAAATATGGTAGGATGCGATTTTACAAACTACGTCTGCCCACTGTTCATTCTATATGAAAGTATAGAAAGTTACGTCGCTTGAATATTTCAAGATTCTAAGGAGTCTAAATTAAGTATGAATAAGTGCTGTTACCAGAATGTTTAGCTGGGACTGAAAGGACTGTCATATGAACAAATTACTCAACGCTCTGCAGACTGCATGCAATTTAAAATCGAGTGCGTTATATTGACTGTTTCAATATCCTAGAATTTTCTCAGTGATCGCAGACTTATTTTAAAAATAGCACTTATCCCCCAACCGCATAAAGCCTTATTCTACACATAAATATTTAAAAATATGGCCTAATCATGACATTATTTCTGAAGAAGTAAAACCAGCCATTTATGTGGTTATTTTCGCACGCGCGTTGTCATAGCCTACCCCAAGAGCCGACCGGATCATGCTAGAATTTCCAAGGGGGGTGACAAGATTCTGGAGGCTTATCTTTAAAAATAGTGGGTGGTGTAAGACTGATAATTACAGAGCTACGAACCTGTATACAGTTCTTATAAAGGCGTCTCAAATAAAATACGTAAATACCCTTGAGAACTATCAGAACTCACAAAAAGCTATTACCAAATATTCTAAGGTGAAGTGGATTTTAAAAACGAGAAATGTCTCTTTTTATTAGTGGAAAATTAGGTAAACTGAAAAGATTATTTGTTCAAAATTTATCATCTCTGACACTGCTTCAGTGAGACTTTCCTGATAGACGGCAGCACCAACATACCAATCAACGCTGTCAGCATTACCATTTTAATCGGTTTGGTGTTACGAGAAAAGGAGGCTTTACCTGTTGAATCAAGCTAGTTCTACAAAAATTCAGGAGCTTCAGCACTGGCTTTAACAATTTTTCTTCTCCATAATAAAATTTTCTGTGAGTAATTTAATATATCTCTGTTGCATACACAGATTCTGGTAGATTAGAATGCTGTTGTAATCGGCTCACGTTAAGTGTAATATTTTCAAAACATTCTCATACTTTCGGCTCCTGTTTAACAAACGTAATTGTACAGAAAGATGAAGAAATACTAGTTCATGATGACAAACTGTTCTCTGATACAGTATTCATCAACTTGGTAGAGGTGTAGACAAAGTGTTACTTGTAAGATTAGTAAATAAGCTTCCTACAATTCGTCTAAACCTGCTACATAGATTTGGACTATTTCCTCTCGTATGACAGACAAATGATAATAACTAATAATAGAGAATCTCCCAAGAGGCAAGCCGTAAGGATTGAAATATTTCAAGAAATGACCGTGGGCTCCGTCACATTTGTAATCTCTGTCAGTGGTCTGCCTGAAGATCGCTAGTTCTCAATGATATTATTTGCAGGCTAAGCTAAAGAAGCATAAGTGATACATGAAGACAAGTATTCACTACAACTTAAGGGAATTTGCCCAAAGAATCATAAGCCAATCTATTGAAAGCAATATTACGAAATATGGAGTGACACAAAGTTGTCAGAATAACTTTCACCGGTGCAAAATTCAGCAAACCACAAATTTCTCTAGCAAGAATATATGTCTTCTTCGATGAGTTACTACCTAATCTTCAACCTGCTGTACCCCACTGGTCACGGCTTCCCACTAGAACCCAGGCCACTGCTTGAATAGAGCCAGTCACTAGTGAGCACCAGATTAATTTTCAAGTATTGGTTTTGTAGGGATTCATGGGCCATTGGATCGGGTCCCAGCGGCTCAATGGTCTACAAGCTCGTCTTGTAACCAGAAGGTCCTCGATTCGACCGACAAGGGGTGCATACTGATGAAGATCTCTGAAGCAGGACAAAACAGCTGTCCAGTACTTCCAGTTTTTCCAGTGGTTCTCTAACTGATGTCAGCTCATGATGAAATCCTCGATCCAATCAAACAAAATCCCAACAAAAACAATACTGCTCATAAGGCCAAATCTAATGATAATCGGGCATTCCAGAGGCAGCCACATCTAATGTGTGTAAGCTTTCAAATACCTTGGCAAAACTCTCCTTTTCATTTCTCAACAAAAATTCGTCATGATGGCTGCGAATTATAATTAGTTATGAAACGACAAGCAATAACAAACACCATCATCGCTACGTAGTACTCTGCTCGTATTCACGTTTATAAAGAAATGGGCCCTGGAACAGCTTGAGCAGATAAAACTATATTTGTCTGGCACAGGACCTAAATAATCGTTTAGGATTAATATCTACAAAGTTTCGTATATCATTCATATGGGCAGTTCATCCGGCCCACAATTTCAATAGGGTGCCAGTCTTCCGTTCCAAGTCAGAGTGAGACATAAACTGGTCTAACTGTAGCCGAGTTCACAGAAGCTTTTTCAAGGCTGAAACCAGCTAAAGCAAAGGTATCTCATACTTTAACATCAAAGATACTTAAGGTTCATGGTAATATATTACTGTATACAAATACGTCTCCATGAAGAGTTATGTTAGCTGAAATGGGAATGCAGTGGATATTGATTAAAAGTAGATATCTGAAAATGTGACGTAAACTCGTCAGTGCGTCTGAGCTGTGCAAAGGAGTGTGTGATGCGTAAATACGGTTACCTTAACAATAAGCATCAGTGAATGGAGTGTTCCAGTGAAATGGTTCGAAATCGTCCACAAAACAGGGGAAGTGTACTGTCATTATTAGCATCTAGTCTCTGGAACCTTTCAACAACACCCATTTAACCACTCTCACTCTCTTCATCTACTGTACTTTCATTGGATTTCAATTTTTCAACTCGGAGAGTAGCTCTCCAAGGTGTAGCAACTTCAGCGCGTGTACTTTTGAACAGTGTTCCACGTTTATTAGTCAGAAAGTTAGCCTGATCTTGAATAACTAATTTATTAAATAAATAGCTCAATGCACTGATTTGTTTCTTCAACCTATATACGAGGAACATCTAAAGCGACTATTGCTATTTCTGTTGCATTATCACTGTGACTCCTCAGCCTAATATTAACATTCTGCCTTCTTAATAAGACATCACAGGCAAACACGTATATCCCATCTTGTTTTCCCAGGAAAAAAGGTATTTTGTGTTACCTTGAAGAGTTATGAAGGTAGCTGAATCTTACGTACATTTTTCACCCACTTAATTGTTAAAAGCCTCTGTGATAAATTCACTTAAAGCGAGGCTTAAAATGTACGAAAATATCCACTGAAATTACCAACATACTCTCTCACTAAAATTTATCACATCCTTAACATGACTATGTACAAATAATTATTATTGATCAGAGGTCAAAGAACTGAAAGGTCTGATACTTCAACTGTGACATGACCTAGAATGGTTTTCTAAATTCGCCAGACGTACGCAACCAAATAGACCTGTAATTCTCAACTGTGATTTCCACTACTTCTAATGCAGTCAAGTCACTTCACAATAAAAACCAAGATATACAGTCGCCGAAGCAAGTAATCTTCGTCCACTGAGGTTATATTAAAAATCACATTTAATTGGTAAAAATTCTTCACAACTAATTAATCTTTGG